TGTCCGTCCGTCTAGCTGTCTGTCTGTTTGTCCGCAAAAACTTCAACATTGCCCATAATTTTTGATTGATTGGAGCTATGGCTTTCATATTTCACATGTGTACTCCTTGTGACAAGACCTTTCTTTGGGTTCCATCATAATTGACCTTTTGACCTTGACCTTGGAGTTTGACCTAGTTTTACAAAATTTTACCCAACTTTAACCTTGGTCATAACTTTTGAACAGTTGGTGCTAGGGCTTTCATACTTCACATGTGCAATCCCTGTGACAATACCTTTGTTTGGATACCAACAACTTTGACCCTTTGACCTTGACCTTGGAGTTTGACCTACATTCGAAAAACTTTAACCTTGGCCATAACTTTTGAACAATTGGTGCTAGGGCTTTCATACTTTATATATATAATCCTTGTGACAAGACCTTACTTTGGATACCAACAACTTTGACCTTTTGACCTTGACCTTGGAGTTTGACCAACATTTGAAAAACTTTAACCTTGGCCATAACTTTTGAACGGTTGGTGCTACGGCTTTAATACTTCACAAATGTAATCCTTGTGACAAGCCCTTACTTTGTATACCAAAAACTTTGACCTTTTGACCTTGGAGTTTGACCTACTTCCGATAAACTTTAAACTTGGCCATATCTTTTGAACGTTTGGTGCTAGGGCCTTCATATTTCACATGTGTATTTCTTGTGAGAAGGCCTTTCCTTTAGCAGCATTAATTTTGACCATTTGACATTGATGTTTGACTTACCTTTGAAAATTTTTAACCTTTTCCATATCTTTTTAATGTTTGCTGCTAGGGCTTTCATATTTCACAGGTATATTCCTCGGGACAAGAACTTTGGGTACCAGCATATTTGATTTGCATTGGAGAAAGTTTAACCTTCGCTATAAGTTGCCATACGGGGGCATCAGTGTTTCACAAAAACATCTTGTTTTTTACCGTTAAACAAAGAATGTCAGTTTTCGTAGCAGGACAATGAATTATTGAAGCATCTTAATACGTACCTCTGTGTTATTGTGTACTTTATAACCATTTTATTAAATTTTCAAATTAAAGAAGGAAAATCAAATATCAATAATTCAGACAGGTTTAACAGGAACATTTTAACGGTACAAAAAAATCACACATAAGTCGGTTCGCTTATAGGTCGGGTGCATTTTTCAGATTATTTCACTGACACCCTTATAAGTCGGTACAAATCTGCGCCAAAATCATTACCTAATTTCAGATTGATATTTTTATTGAATGTCCCTCTGTAATAAAGTACGTTTTGGAGTTTGACATCGATATTTGATCTTTCATATTTATGTAAACTATTTAAACTTATCGACCTAGAAAGCGTCAGAACGTCACGAACAGTGAAATACCTATGGTGTTCTGCAATCAGCTCTAGTAGTTCAAATCACCGCCTATACCATTGGCTTTGTTTTTGTACAGTTTCTGGAATATTTTCAGAATTTCAATTTATTGGAACATTGTTTCAAAGAACAACATATTAGCGGTTCTCTTGGTGAATACTCTCTCATTAAGCTTCTGATTTAATAAATTATTTTACTTAAACGTTAAATGACATACTTACTCTCTCAACTATTTTTTAGCTCCCATGAGTCTGGAATTGAGGTTATTAAAAACTTTCGCCTGTTTATATTTTCATTTTGTGAGGTGTGCCGATTCGACCCTCCATCATAAATCAAAACTTTTTTTAAAGTTTTAACTAGCTTATTCTAATTTCAACTGAAGTAAGTAAAATGCTAGCTTTTACATTATTTTGAACCAATTACAGCGTATACACAATATGGTGCAAAAGGCATAACCCAAAATTTTCAAATAACCATTGCTTATAAATAACAATCGAGATCGAGTAGAGAAACTATTATAAAGCATCAGGAATAAAAAGACTGAAGACATCACTGATGTACAAACAAGTCATACAGAAAGCACTTTGGACAAAATTGTCATGCCATAAAGTTGAACCCTTACAGGAAGTCATATGACAATGAAAAACGATCTGTTCAGGGATTCAATGATGAAATTTATGATATTACTGCTCTATCTGCCGTTAGACTGTTTGTCGAATTTGCATCATCTTTGAATCTGTAAACCAATTTTTGATGCTAAGAATTAAAGAGAAAGAGAATACAATATCTCAAATTATGAGGCCCCTGAAAAAGAAACTATTGCTATGCGCTTGGAAGAAATGACTGAAAGTCTTTAATTCGAAATCAAATTGAGAAGGCTCAGAGGCAGTTAACAACATTGGTCATCTTGAAACTCGACTGAAGCCTGAAAGAAAACGCCCGCAACATATCATGGATACCTCTGCCAAAGAACAACAAGAAAACATTGATGTAACCATCAATTGTCGCCCGGGAAATAAATAAAGTAAACAATGGAAATGAGTCTTTATCATCAAACCGCTTCGATATGTGTGAAAAAGGCATGCGTCTAAATGATGGAGACGATAGTCGAGAATATTTTGAAAACTTATAATCGGATGAAAATCGAACAAAAACGATACCCTTTTAAACTTTATCAATTCCTCAAGTAAATGTTGGCTGCATAAAATATAATTTGAAACCAGACACTTGCATCACCTATTTTCAAAAATATCTTTCACTTTAAGAATATAAAACACGAACTGTGTAAAGTACATTTTTACGTTTTTATGCGATAAGTAAAATTCGATGTTCTAAAAAAAGGGACCTGTCGTTTTTTCGATAGTAAATGATAAGCAACTTTATATACTAAATATGAAAAACATATATATTTTTACAGATTCACTTTATGGAAGTAAATATATTGTGTATCTCGTAATTTATAAAGGGAAAGAACATTCTGATTAACAATCTTTTTAATGTTTAGAAAACCTTTAATTCTGAATAACTTCTCCCACCTCAATCCCCATATACCAACACTTAAACTTATATGTATAGAGCAGCCCGGTCCTCCGGGCTGCAACAATAAAACATTAGAGAAGTCACTGACTTTTCAGAGAAGATATTAAAAATAATGCATGTACCGAGGTTATATCACTGCTAGATGAAATTTTTCAAACATAATATGCTGGTAAAATAAATGGAAATGACGAAGCGAATAGAATAAATTCTGACTATTCAGTAGTCAGCCGAAGAAAAGAGTGTCTTAAGCGGCCATTCAAACTGTACAAGGTCTATGTCGCGAAGTTTTCAAGATCTAAGAAAAGCAAAAATTGTGTATGAACTAAATATTCTTGACAGCCTGAATCTAACAGAATGAGATGACGAATTTAATTTTGTGTATTCTAGAGTTGTTTAGATATCTGATAGTAGGCAAGGAAAATGAAAAAAAAAATCAAGTTATTGAATCTTCGGAACCTCAGATCGATGGAGAACTGTCTTGGGAGTAATCGTGTATAGATTTGGAATAGTGTGTAGATATGTTAATTTATACATGGGTGTGTAATAATTGCAATTTTGTGTGTTATAACGCAAATCTTTCGTTAAACTCGAAACTTAAGTGACTTATCGCAAAGTCTTTTGCGTTATAAAGCCAACTTTAGGACGTGTATATAAAATATACCTTTGATGCCCAATTACTTCAATAACGTTAAACAGTCAAAGTGACGAGGATTTGTTGGTTGCATATCTCAAGGTAACTCCATTATAAAGTGAATAAGTCACACTGTTCATTTGTACATCAGGCAAGTAGTATCGTTTTTGATAAAAAAAAAAAGGGGGGGGGGGAGCAAGAAAATTTGACAACTTACCTGAAAAAATTGTGGCAGAGAAAAAAATATGTAAATTCTCCAAAATCCTATTCCGTGCACGAGGGGGGGGGGGGGGTTAGATTCCATTTTTTTCCCGCAACAAAAATGTATTAAAACATTTCCATGATTTATATATGTATGTAGGGGAGGGGGAGGGGGGCAACCAACGATCAGCAATATCAGGCAGTGGCGGATTTAAAGGGGGCGCGCCCCCCTAAAATTGTCAAAGTTAGCGTAAATCATAGTTTCATCGAGAAAATGTAAAAATGTCTACTCGGTGGACCTCATTTTTACCCTACAAAATATCTAGAATCCAGGAGCTTCCAGGGGCTTCGTCACCACCAGGGCTTTGCCCTGGACCCACTGTGGGCCTCAAGGCGGCCCCAGAACCCCTGCCTACTTTTTGATCCCCCCTAGTCCGAAATATCTGATGTTTTCCTAGCTTTTTTTTTTACTATTTTACGTAAAATATCAAAATCGTGAAAAAAGCCTGGAAAACGTCAGATATTTCGGACTAGATCCCCCCTAACTTCAATTCCTGGATCCTTGCCTGTCAGGTATAAATACATGTATCATGACTTCTGTCAATGATTGTGTACTTGATTTATCATTTAACATTATTTAACTGGAAAATTATTTTTTGGCTTCTAGTTTTCTGAGATCTACGAAACGCTTTAATGATTTTCTGCGTTTATTTATGCACATGAACGACTCTCTTTAATAGACCAAGGTAAGTAAGTTTAAAGTACGTGACAGCCCGATCTGATAAGATTATTTACATGCACAGAAGTCTGCACTTATCGATTTTCAGAACGTCACTTCCTATTTTGAACTGCATAAAAAAGTGTAGGCTCATCTGGTAAGTAAGATACAGTTTATATTTAACACTTCCTACTTCTTTCTGCTTAAGGGAGTACGGAAATATCTGCCCTCTGAATTTAATGCCGAAAACCCCTTTGGTTCGGTCAATGGCTTGCCATTTGCATACAAAATTGAACAATGCTTGAATACAGTAACAGCGAAATTGATTATGATTGAAACAACACAACACCAACGTTATGGTCACTCTCGCATATATATATATATATATATATATATATATATATATATATATATATATATATATATATATATATATATATATATATATATATATACTAGTATATATATGCTATAGTTTAAAACTAGGTGATACTACAAATAAGCTTTTTAAACCTAAAAACAGTATGGCTTGTTTAATTTTGCAGAAAGAAATGGATCCTATATCGAGAACAATATCCGATGATTTCCTTACATGTACAATATGTTACGAGATTTTTACGGAACCCCAAACACTTCCATGTTTGCATTCCTTCTGCAAACAATGCATTGCCGACTTCATTCAAAAGAGTGATTCAAAACGATCAAGCGATTGTCCCATCTGCAGAGAAACATTCTCAGTCGATCAAAAAAGTTTAAAAACAAACTTCTTTCTTCAGAACATGATCGATTTGATTGAAAGTTCATCGTCCAAACTACTGTGCTCGTTTTGCAAACTAATGGATAAGGAACATATTGCTGTTTCACAGTGCATTAGTTGTTTGGATTATTTATGTGAGGAGTGCACGAAAACACACGCGCTTACCCGCCAAACTATAGACCACAAAGTTGTACCAATAAGTGAAATTAGGGAAGGAAAATACGTCAGAGAAATTCAATCAGTTCAGAAGATTCGATGTTCACAGCACACCGATGAAATTCTGCGATATTTCTGCATCCAGTGCAATTTGTTAGTTTGTCGTGATTGCATCATCTTTGAACACAAAAGCCATGATTTTAAACCGATTTCAAATGCTAGAAAGGAGAAAGAAAACAAAATTTCAGAAGTAATGAAACCTTTGAAAAAGAAACTAGAGGCTATAAAGCAGAATACTGCTGTTGTTGCTTTGCGTATGGAGGAACTGACTGACAGAGAGACCATGATTCGAAAACAAATAAAGCAGACTTGCACAGAGGCTATAAACAGGATCCGAAAATCAAAAGAAAATGGAGGACGAGCTTAAGGATCGAATTAAACCTGGAAGAGATCGTTTGCAGCATATCTGGGATAGATCTTCCAAAATATGCACAAGCATTGAGGAATCAATTAATTTTTCAGAGAAAATATTAAAAAGAGGAAACGATATTGAAGTTTTGTCTTTATTGGATGAAATTTTTAATAGACTTACAAAATTAGAAAACGTGAATCTAAGACAGAAGAGAGCAATTGCCCAGCAGTGGATGTCCCCGATTTTCAGATCACGTGGGATGAACCTCGGTTTTCATTTCCATGCGGAATTATGAGAGATTTTGCATCTTGTAAACGGAAAACAGGTGGTAATGAAAGAGACAAATTAACAATTGCAGAAGTAGGCAACAACATGTCAAGATCATTGTCAAAAAGTGTTCCAAATTTAAGTGTGCTCTCCAGTGATGTTTCGTATAAAATAAAGCTCCTGGACAACTTGGATCTAAAAGAAGATGAAGATGTATTCAAACCTGTGTATTCTAGTGTTGCTTGGATAAACGAAGACAATATAGCTGTGGTGGACAAAGAAAATGAAAAAATTAAACTGTTTAATCTCAGTAAGAGAACTATTAAATCTATAGGCATGGAGAGGGCGTTGGCAGTATCCGTGTATAAACATGGCTTAGCCTGTAGATCTGTTGATTTGCATGTAAAAGTGTTTCATAAAACACTTAAAGAGTTCAAGAAAAAACACGGAGTATTTACACTAGCTGTATCCACTTTGCAAAATCCCGCACTAATCTGGATGACAAAGCATGATATATTTACTGATAAAGATGGCACTGTGTCCAGAGTGTCTTTTCTGGATGGGGAAATGAGTCCTACATCACTCGGAAATCCGAGATTTGCCTGCTACCTCCCAAATGACTTGTACTTCGTGTCAGACAGTGGGAATGATTGTGTGTATCTAATTAAAAGTAGTGGGAAAATTATAAGAAAAATAGATCATCACCCAGGATCTATTGCATATGATAAAAATCAAAACGTATTTATCACGGATTTTTACAATGGAAGTATTTCAATTTTTGATCCGAGCGGATCCTACCTAAGCGAGATAAAAATTGGTAAATGGAAAAAATCACCTAGAAGCATTTCTATTTTAGAAAATAAACTGTTGATTGCAAACGAACACCAAATCCTGTTGTTTGAATTGGAAACCAAATGAACTTCTTATTTACATGTACCATATTCTTACTGTGACCTCAACGCTCTCCTCTTGTCCAATAAGGTTAACCCATGCAACATCCCGTTTATTGAACAAATACATTATTTTTCTATCATATCATTCTTTTAGTTTGGTTTTTATATGTACATATTTTATATAGCTTGCACAGACACAATTGAATATCAATACCCTTTTCATACAGTAAATATGTTGACAAAAATGTCTTTCTCATGGAGTTTTCTTTAGTAGGACTTGGAAATGTATGTTAAAATATAATTATTTTGCAAATGGAGTAAATGCGCTCGGATATATTTTCATAATAGTATGTAATATGTATATTGTCAGACGGGTGTTTATCTTTATTTCAGTTTTCTTGGCGTTCAACCAACTTTCACAGTGCTTTTGTAGAGAAGGAAACGACCACGAATGTATGATGCTACGAACAGTCCCGTATCTTGAAAGTGGGCTGTAACTTCAACGTATGGCATGATCGCACGCAGGCATTATTAGATTACGAGGCAACTCGGGGCATTGGAGAGAAATTATTTTTTATTTCAGTCTGAGATAATGAATAGTGCAAGTCTCATTGACCTTCCCTCCCTTAAGAATGATATCTATTAATTTAAACTTTCATATATCCGCACATTCTAAAGAAAGTTTGGGTATATTTTTGTTACCCTGGTCCGTCCGTCCGTCAAACTTCCTCAAACCCTGCTTACAACTGACGCTTTACTCAATCTTTTGGAATATGATAGGTGGTGTCCTGTAGATGTGCAATAAGATTTTGAAATTTTCAAATTTACCCTGGGGGCAAAAGGGGGTCAAATATGATGTTTTTCTACAAAAAAAAAAAAAAAAAAAAAACACCTGGTTCCCAGAACTCCTTACGTTTTAGGCAGTAGCCTAATCATCTTTGGGAATGTGATTGGTGATGTCCTGTAGATGTGCATTAGGGTTTCAAAATTTTCATTTTCAACCTGGGGTCAAATGGGCGTCGAAAATGACGTTTTTCTACAAAATCCTGTAGACCTTTTCACAAAAAATCTTACGACTAAAATTAAAATTTTCCAATTCTTCTGTATGTACCTAAATTGTAGCAGGTTACAAAAAATCTTATATTTAATTACATGATAGTATATTGTGAATTATTTTTTCTAAAATAATAAATTTCCTCATTAAACAAAAAAATTACAAACTTGTCAAATTTTAATCTTAGTCGTAAGAATTTTTGTGAAAAAGGCTACTGGTTCCCAGAACTCCTCTTAAATTTTACGCAGTAGCCAAATCATTTTTTTACCGGTGTCGAAGTCCTGTAGATGTGCAATAGCGTTTAGGAATTTTCTTTTTCCCTTAGGCGCCAAATGGGGGTCAAAAAGCGACGTTTTTCTACCAAAAAAATCCTGGTTTTTCTGAACTCTTCGTACAATTTACAAGTAGGTATATGATCTTTTGGAAATTCATTTTCATCATGGGGGTCAAATACAGGTCGCAAAACGATGATTTTAATCGTACAAAAAAATCTTGGTTCCCAGAGCTCTTACATTTTACGCAGTAGACGAGTCATCTTTTGGAAGGTGATTGGTGGTGTCCTGTAGATGTGCAATAAGGTTTTGGAGTTTAAATTTTTACCCTTGAAGCCAAATGGCTCTCGGAAACGTCGTTTTTTCTACAAAATAATCCTGGTTCCCAGAACACCTCTTACAATTTACACAGTAGCCAAATGATCCTCAGGACCAGGATTGCTGCGTAAATTGTAAGAGATGCAATAAGGTTTGGGAATTTTCATTTCACCCTTGGGGTCAAATGGGGATCGAAAAACGTCGTTTTATCTACCAAAAAACCCTGGTTCCCAGAACACTTCTTACAATTTACACAGTAGCCAAATGATCCTTTGGACGGTGATTGCTGGTGTCCTGTAAATCTGCAATAAGGTTTTGGAATTTTCATTTTCACCCTTGGGGCTAATTATACCCGCACTTTCCAAAAAAGTTTGGGTGTGTTGTTGTTGCATGTATACGGTCGTATGTCACACTTTCTTCCATTTCAAACTCCTCTTTTATTTAAAGCAGTAACCAATTCATCGTTTGGAATATGATAGGTAGTGTCATTTCGATATGCAATAAGGTTTCAGAGTATTCATTTTCACCCTTGGGGCCATAATTGGGGTCAAAAAACAGTGCCCCCCCCCCCTGAAAAAAAACCCTGATTCCCAGAACTCCTCTGACATTTTATTCAGTAGCCAAATGATCTTTTGGAAGATGATGGTGGAGCATTGTAGATGCACAATAAGGTTTCAGAATTTTGATTTTTTTTTCCTGGGGGCCAAATTGGAGTTGAAAAACAACTTTTGGTACAAATTGTGGTTCCCAGAACTTCTCTCACATTTAAAGCTATATATGGCAAATCTGAGTTAAGAAATGATAATACGAGATTGAGTGTAGATATACATGAGATAATGTTATTTACGTTCAAATTAAAATTTTCTCCGATTCTGAACTCGAACAACCTCATGTTTCTATACTAGTAATTAAATTGACTTTAAATGTGTCTTTTATTTAAATGCGTGCGGAGTCGGTAAATAAATCAGTTATTGTTTTAATTTTGTGATATCTTTGTAATAAATCAAATAGAAAGATATTTTTAATTTTGGTTATTTGAACTTAGTCAAAAATGTGCCATATATGACTTTAACACAGTAGCCATATCATCTTGTGGAAGATGACACGTGGTGTCCTGTAGATGTGCAATAAGGTTACAGAATTTTGATTTTTGTCATGGAGGAAATGGGGGTCGAAAAACGATCCTTTTTTTCTTCAAAAACCTGGTTCCCAGAACTACACATACATTTTAAGCAGTGACCATTTCATCTTTTGCCAAAGGAATGAAGAAGTCCAGATGTGCAATAAGGTTTCGGAATTTTCATTTTCACCCTGGGGCCAAATGGTGGTCGAAAATGACTACACTGTATTTTTCCTTTACTGAAAAAGATATTCTTCTAAAACTCTTCCTTTTAACCATTGTTATGCTCACCTGTACATTTTGTGCTCAATTTGATATATGTTTACATAATTTACGTAACGTATAGAATAACTTTCGAGGCTCCTTCAATTCGCTATCCAGATACAAGGGAGCTAGTATACATTTAGAGGCAAACACTTACTTGCGGGTATTTCTGTTTTTTTTATCAGCACCTAGTTTATCATATTACTTCGTTAATTTTTAGTGTATAAAAAATTCTTTTCATGACAAACTTGTATACATACTTTAAACATTATTGTAATAAACAATACACATTTTTCCTACTGTAGTCTTAAAGAAAAAAACTAGCAATGTTCTGTTTCTGTTTACAGCCGAATTTCTTTGTCAAACTGGTTCTAACCTTCAACATTTGAATGGGGCAAGAAAAAAAATGTGAAAATAACAAATTGTGATCAATCTTAATCCTGTTAACAACACGAAGAGTGAATAGGGCAAAACATAACCTGTGGAAATATTTAAGGTGGGATCAGGTGTCTAGGAGGAGTTGCATCCCCTGTCGATCGGCAACGCCCTCTTTATTGATTAGGTAGTAGTCAAAATTAGTATACAAAACAATGACCCGACCTAACAATTGTTATGAAACATATCAGTCAAAAGCCGATCCAAAGATATTTGCAAACAGTCATTATGACAGTTATGGAATTTGCGAAATGCTGACTTTAAACAAGATTTTAGAAAACCTTGTTACATCAACTTAGTCAGTAGCTTTCCCGCGCAAAGACCTAAGTGCATTGACACCATCATGAATCCCGTATATATACGCATCTATTTATCAAGTCTGTACAAGTATCTATTATTTTATATTTGTTAAAGACTTTTCACGTGGAATTCATTGTAAATATTCAACAGCCTCAAGAGGAAAGGAGATTGTCGGAGATCCTGTCCACCAATCTTCTATGCAGAGTTGTCGTTCGTTTCTCTCAAGATTTAAGTAATTCAAGTTTGTATATTGCGCTAATCGTAGTGATATTTAGCAAGCCAATAACAGAGGTGAATGTAAGAGCTGCTTGTAGAGAGTGCAAGTACACTTTGTTCATAAGTCAGTTAGTGTGACCAGAAAAGCATGTTGTGTATTTTTCGTCATTAAAAATAGAATCCGGTTAATTAATTTGGAAGTTCAGACCCTATCAGGATATGCAGTTTTTTTCTTTCAAGAAAACTATTAATTAGTATTAGGTCCCCTCAACGGAAAGATATAAAAAGAGACGCAGTGGCTGTCACAAATTTGTATAGTGGTGTTAAAACGCACTTTGAAAAATTACGCACTTTGAAAAATTTTTGCAAAGTGCGTTAATTTTGGGACTACGTTAACGCACTTTGAAAAAAAAATTCTTTTCAAAGTGCGTTAATATCGACCATATTAACGCACTTTGAAAAAAAAAATGTGCACGGCTTGGTCAATATTGTTGCAAATTTTAGGTATGATAAATAATTATTTGAACCTGGTCGGATAACTTTTCGGTGATGACGTCAGGATCTGAGATATAGACATTTTAAAGATTTTTAGGAGTTGTCTTGTTTCCAGAGGTTCTCGTAACTGTTATAAAAGGGAAATGGGTCTTAGAAATAATGGAGGAATGATTGTTTAATAGCAGAGTTTCGTTTCTTTTTTAAATTTTATCCAGTCTCTAATAAGTTCGGTAAACGTAGGTGTCGATAAGTGACTTAAAGCATCGCATTTTTCTTAGGGAAAAGGGAGCGCCTCTCTTCTTTAATATAATAGGGTGCGTAATTTTTTTTTCAGGAAAGCTTATTTCTATTTTTTCATCTATTTTACGCTAACTCAAATTTATTGAGAGAAATAATATCAATGTCATACCAGTTGTGTAAATACAAATAATTTTTTTTTCAGGAAAGCTTATTTCTATTTTTTCATCTATTTTACGCTAACTCAAATTTATTGAGAGAAATAATATCAATGTCATACCAGTTGTGTAAACACAAATATTTGTGTAGGAAAGATAGAAAGTTGGGCTGAGTGACTTTCTACCTGTCTTTTCCTCGTTCTCGATGAGGGTAGATCAATTCATCGGGGTTTTTTAAGAAATATAACAAATCAATGCTGTCAATTATTAAAATCTAAGTCCAGAATTTGTGTAATACGTATTTTTTTAAAGTGCGTTAAATGTCTCCATGGTAAAAAATG